ATGTCTCTCCAAACCAAAGCCGTATTTTAGTTTGTTCATCTAAGTGGAAACGTTACAGATTTGTTGCACAATGAGATTGATGCCTTTTAATATTATATTCATTGCAAAGAGACAACTGTCACTGTTGTCTCAACTATTGTTTTATTAATCAATTCCAGACTACGCCACAACTTCTCAGTTCCATTGAAATAGAGACGATTCACGCCCTGAAAACAGAAGGTACCTTACCTTTAGCTCGCTTCAGAATATTTCAACACATTTGAATTGAAATCACATTTTTGTTTGACGTTTGGGAGGAAAGGTTTGCTTCCTGTCGTATTTATTATCTGGGTCAGACAAACTGCTTTCAAATCATGTTGCCGGGGACAACCAGTGGAGTTCCAGATGGTTCTCTTTCATCTGCAGTAGATTAAGCAAAACATTGCTTAAAGGCACTGAGGCAAAAACACGTCGGTGAAGTGGAGCAATAAAAATAAGCATCGATACGATGCCTTAGGTCCTTAAGTCGCTGTCTTTATAATAAAAAAACATCCTTATTACATCTAATGGTTTCACATTCAGAACTCAGCTGATTTGTATAATTTAAGAATGTTTGTTCCGAAGATACAATTTTGGTAAGATGAACACAATAACTAAAAAACAAGCACAATATAAACTACAACAACAACAAAAGAAACAAAAACTAGAACAGCAACAACTACAATAACAACAAAAGAAACAACAACAACGACCCAGGAAACAAGGGCGATATTACCTACAACAAAAGGAAAACAGCAACATCCCAAAATCCCAAGAACAACATTAACAACAACAAATGCAACAATAACAACATCAAATACAACAATACATCACAACAACAGCAACAAACTACAAAAGAAACAACAACCTTAATTACAACCGTAACAACAACAAGCAACATCAACTACAACAAAAGAAAAACAACAAGCAACAACATCTACTACGAAAACAACAAATGCAAGTACAACTGTCATTACGATTTTATTTGTGTCAGAAATCTCCGTATTCTGTGATGCAACCATGATGACCCAGAAACGGGCCTCAGTGACCTTGAACCCCAAAGAGAAATGTTTATTGTTTATGAAACAACGATCTTCAGGCCACATTTCTGGTAAACTCAGACTTTCTGTCTCACCCAGAAAGGAGAGGACACACTTCTTTGGTTCTTCTGCTGTGGTCTGTTGAGTCATTGTGAACCTGCTCAGCATCTGGTCCATCGTGCACCCGGGTGAGAGGGAGACCTCCGTAAGGAGTGAGGGATGTAACAGAAGAGATTATTGAGGATAGCACAGGCCTCGTGGTCATGGAGGGGTCTGTCTGGCCTTATGAGTGGCTCTATGAGTGCCCCCACCCTTTCCCCCATGCAGGACCTGTGGGCCTCTCCAACTGCTTCTAGCTTTGTGATATTCTCAACGGTTTATTGCTCACTGTACAATTCCAGGAACCCCCCTGCTGACTAAAACAACAAAGATGTGGTGGCCCCCCTCAGAGCTGTGGATAGAAGGTGGATCCCCGCATCACCTTTCATTCAGGAGAGAGTTGAGGTCTCGTTATGACTGTTATCTTTATGATAAATGAGGCAGACTTGGGTAATCAAAAAAAACTGTAAAACACAGATGTTGAGTGCCGTTGCTTATCAGAAAAAAACTCATAATCGATGAGTGACCCTCTCTGCAGAGCGGAGGACACGCTGCAGCCTGCCCTCGTCCTTGGCTGTGGCTGCAGCGTACCAGACGGTGATGGAGGAGCAGAGGATGGACTCCATGATGGCCGTGTAGAAGTGGACCATCATCGTCTTTGGCAGGTTGAGTTTCTTCAGCTGCCTCAGGAAGAACAACCTCTGCTGAGCCTTCTTGGTGATGGAGCTGATGTTCAGCTCCCACTTGAGGTCCTGGGTGATGATGGAGCCCAGGAAACGGAAGGAATCCACAATAGTGACGGGGGAGTCACACAGGGTGATGGGGGAGGGTGGGGCTCTGTTCCTCCTGAAGTCCACAACCATCTCCACTGTCTTTAGAGCGTTGAGCTCCAGGTTGTTCTGACTGCACCACGACACCAGATGGTCAGACTCCCACCTGTAGGCGGACTCGTCCCCACCAGAGATCAGTCCAATGAGGGTGGTGTCATCCGCAAACTTCAGGAGCTTGACGGACTGGTGGCTGGAGGTGCAGCTGTTGGTGTACAGGGAGAAGAGCAGAGGGGAAAGAACGCAGCCTTGGGGGGAACCGGTGCTGATGGTCCGAGAGGCTGAGACATGTTTCCTCAGCTTCACGTGCTGCTTCCTGTCAGACAGGAAGTCTGCGATCCACTTGCAGATTGAGTTGGTGGAGCTGTGAGAGTGGAGTCAGGACATTGACCATCAAATCTGCAGTAGAACTCATTGAGCTCGTCTGCCAGGCGGAGGTCATTCATGGAGTGGGGGGTTTTTGGCTTGTAGTTGGTGAGGTGTTTGAGGCCTCTCCAGACCGAAGCAGAGTTACTTGCTGAGAACTGTTGTTGGAGTTTCTCAGTACAGTCGTTTAGCATCTCTCACCAACTTGTATTTTGCCTCTGTGTACGAGTCTTTGTCCCCGGTCCTAAATCCCTGATCCTTCTGCAGGCGTAGTGTTCTGAGTTCCGCTGTGAACCAGGGTTTGTCGTTGTTGTAACTCACCCTGGTGCATGATGGTACACAGCTGTCCTCACAGAAGCCGATGTAGGAAGTTACAGCCTCTGTGAACTCATCCAGACTGTCAGTAGATGAAAACATCCCAGTCTGTGCGGTCAAAGCAGGACCCAAGATCCTCCAGTGCCTCACTGGTCCACTTCTTGGATTCCCACAGGTTTCATAAACTGTTTGTACTGAGGAGGTTCATGGCTGAAATTACCTTTGTCCCCAAGGACAATAACTAAGGAGTCCGGGTTGGTCCGCTCCATATGCCGTATCTGGTCTGTATATGAAGCACTGGACCATCCATTACCAAAGGACAGGAGATCATTCTGTCCCACAATTCCTTCCGGTGGAAATTTTACAGTTTTGCTGGTGCAGACTGACGTCACTAACATTTGTCTCCGTCCATCAGAATTACGTGGCTCAGTCGGATCCCTTAAACACTGTGTTGTAACTCCTCATGAACTCTCCTAACCATCTTTCATTGACGCCCCTGACGGTTTCCATAGAGGTCAAGGAATAGCGGTTAGGAATAGACGCTATAGGAGGACATTTGTAAAGGTTGGAGATTGCTTTAAGCAGTGTGGATGCTTTAGAGCACATTTATTTAAAGACAAATCATGCTTCCCACAAAACCTTAAATAAGCAACAACTTTCTTTGGTTAATAATCGGGTGCAGACTGGAAGACTGACTTTTTTTCAAGCCAAGATTCTAGAAATAATTATATTTTTATAATTTTATATTTTATAAAGTTATTAAGTCCAAAATACATTTAATACAAAATCTTTGTAGGCGAAAGTCAATGAGATGCAACGCTATGAGCTTGATGATGTCACTAACAATGAAATGAATATTTAAGGTTCTTCATCTTCATCAACATCTTAATGAAACGTCTCTGAGGCCTTTGGAACATGTTCACATAAACGGTGCGATGGCGCCTCTGGTGGCGGGAACTCAAACGTCAGGAGAGAGGTCATGACGCGAAGTAAACAAATGCACGTGGTGAGATGCACGTGGGGTTTAGTGTGCTGGGTGGTTTCCAACACATGATGTTATCTACATGGAGGTGCAAAAGTTAAAGGATAAAGATATTAACATACATATATATATGTATAAATGAGGCCCTACCCTTTCCGTAAGAGGTTAACTTCATTGTGTTTGTGTTGTCATTGTGTTTCATTGTGTGTATTTGCCGTTGTGTTTTGCACTTCAGGGCCACCGTACCTTTAACCCCAAGAACACCAGGATAACCTAAAATCATCAGCCTGAAGGTCGGGCGCAGTTGGATGTTCCAACAGGACAATGACCCCAAACACACATCAAAAGTGGTAATAGAATGGATTCAGCCATTCTATGGGGTTATTCCCAAAGTCCTGACTTCAATCCCATTGAGAACATGTGGAAGAAACAAGTCCATGTCAGAAAGACATCAAATTTAACTGAACTGCACCAATTCTACCAAGAGGAGTGGTCGACGAGAAGCTGTTAACCCATAATAAAGTCATAAAAGAATCAGACTTAATGAATGTTTTTGTGACAAAGTATCTGTTCCAATCACTCACAGAAAAATCAGACCGTAGAAATAACGGGAAACTCAAGAGAGCCGCGACATTATGTTCTTTACACGTGTATGTAAACTATGGACCTGCACAACCTATACAACTGTATATATTATATATATATTATTTATATATATATATATACAGTTATATATATATATGTACAGTGATATATATATATATATATATGTATGTATATATGTATGTATATATGTATATATATGTATGTATATATGTATATATATATATATACATACACATATATATATACATATATATATATATATTATACATATATATTACACTCCTCTCTCTATATATAAATGTGGATGTAATTGATTATATTTTTGGCAGATGGCGCTACAGGCGAGCTGAAGATGTTCCTTATGAAATGTATAAAGCCCAGAGGGGTTTAACTGAAGAACAGCTCCTAAGTACTTTGTTGCAGTACATCTACCGGAGGAGCCTGTGTGTTGTACTTCACTTAATCAGACTTAAAACATGATGTTAATACTTGTCGATCTACTTTCTTCATTCAAATTCTTAATCACACACACACACACATTTCCTTTGAGCTCCAATCAGTGAGACACGCAGATTAAAAGAAGCACAAACTCTTGCACCACATCTCCCTGCATGAAGCGAGACCCTGGCGATGTTCACACAGGAAGGAAGCGGCGTCACGCGGCCCCGGGGGTCCGCACAGCGAGGACCTGTTCCACTGTGTGACTATCCGCTTAGTTTCCAGAGGTTCAGACATAAAACATGAACATCAACTTAACTTATGACTTTATTCGTTTCCAAACCTTTACACAAATTCATACATCAAATCAAATAAATATGTTTCTTCTAAATGCTACAACTAAATCAGTGTGTTAGTGTTTACTGACTATCATATCTAAGAATGCGCAATGTGTGTGTGTGTGTGTGTGTGTGTGTGTGTGTGTGTGTGTGTGTGTGTGTGTGTGTAACTTGCATTTTGCAACCAGTTGGAAATGCTGAGCGTGTTTCTCTGGTTTCAGATCAGGCCGGTTGTTACAGCAGAGGAAGAGACGTAATAACGAGAACATCACACCTCGTACAGACCAAAGAAGTTGCCGTAATGGGAGTGGCTGAGGTACTTTGGGTGCGACACGTTCACAAAGACTCTGTCGGACTTCTGCAGCGGCAGGGCGGAGGCCAGGTAGCTCTCCGTGGTCCAGGCCCGCCCCCCCTGCTGGGAGCAGAACCCGGCCCTGTGGGCCTCCATCAGGGTCAGCGGGGCCGAGCGGCCGGCTCGCCTCACGAACACGGAGTGCACAAAGGATGACGAGGGCGAGCAGTCCCTGAAGAGCAGCTCCACCCGCGAATACACGTGGTACAGTCCGCTCCGGTTGGGCTGCAGAGCGCCGTCCTCCAACCGGTACGCCACCGCGCCGGAGGTGAAGGCCCGGCCCGCATGAGGCTCCCAGCGCAGCGTCTGAGGGAAGGTTTCTACCTCGATGCGCCCTGCAGGGGGAGGGGAGAAGTCACACAAGATGCTCCTTTAGAGGAGGAACCATGAAGATACACGGGGTTTTATCAGGTCTCCTCTAATGTTCTCACAAAGGAGGAACCATGAAGATACACGTTGTTTCATCAGGTCTCCTCTAAGGTTCTCACTAAGGAGGAACCATGAAGATACAAGTTATTTCATCAGGTCTCCTCTAAGGTTCTCACAAAGGAGGAACCATGAAGATACACGGGGTTTTATCAGGTCTCCTCTAAGGTTCTCACAAAGGAGGAACCATGAAGATACACTTTGTTTTATCAGGTCTCCTCTAAGGTTCTCACTAAGGAGGAACCATCAAGATACACTTTGTTTTATCAGGTCTCCTCTAAGGTTCTCACTAAGGTGGAACCATGAAGATACACGTCGTTTCATCAGGTCTCCTCTAAGGTTCTCACTAAGGAGGAACCATGAAGATACACGTCGTTTCATCAGGTCTCCTCTAAGGTTCTCACTAAGGAGGAACCATGAAGATACACGTTGTTTTATCAGGTCACCTCTAAGGTTCTCACAAAGGAGGAACCATGAAGATACACGTCGTTTTATCAGGTCACCTCTAAGGTTCTCACTAAGGAGAAACCATGAAGATACACGTCGTTTTATCAGGTCTCCTCTAAGGTTCTCACTAAGGAGAAACCATGAAGATACACGTTGTTTCATCAGGTCTCCTCTAAGGTTCTCACTAAGGAGGAACCATGAAGATACACGTTGTTTCATCAGGTCTCCTCTAAGGTTCTCACTAAGGAGGAACCATGAAGATACAAGTTATTTCATCAGGTCTCCTCTAAGGTTCTCACAAAGGAGGAACCATGAAGATACACGTTGTTTCATCAGGTCACCTGTGACGTGGGCTGCAGCTCGCTCCTCTTGGTCTTCTTTCTTCTCCTCGGGCCGGAGAGCTGAAACAACCACAGAACCGTCACATCTCTCTTTGGGAACATCTAAGCGCGTTTGGAGTAATTCACAGTGTGCATATTTACCGATTTGCTTCCCAGGCGTATTCGACTCAGCCAGAGGATGATTCTTCAGAAACAGAAGTAGAAACATCTCGTTACCACATTAGACAGACTCACAGAGCTCATGAGAAGGAGGACATCCTGTCCCTGGCCCGGAGACCACAGGTGGAACCGCGAGGTCTTTGGTGAGCGTTCTTAAAAGGTCAGAGCCCCAGTGAGCTGAAGTCGCTCCCCACATGAGTCACAGCCCCGTGAGGCTCTACAGAGGTGGGACAAGTGGCACCTTCTTCTACTCGCAGCGTTCGCCCACATTAGAGAACTGCAACCAGCGTTATGAGATTACTCCATTATTACCTCACTGGTTCTTCTCTCAATGACTCGAGCAGTCGAATGTTTCACAGAGTAAAATTTCGTGTCAGCAGCAGAGCGACCCCCCCTCCCGGCCCACGGCTCCTCACCTCCCTCAGCTCCCTCAGCTCGGCCTGCATGCTGTGGATCTGGTAGGCTTCCATCCCCAGAGAGGCGAACACCAGCAGGAAGAGCAGGAGCACCACCAGGGCGGCCCCGGCCCCGGTGCAGCGCCGGCTCTTCCCCCGGCGCCCGCTGCTCCGCTGGGCCGGCGGGAAGGACCAGCAGGGCACCAGGCTGGGCTGCTGGTCGGCGTGCTGCGGGCCCCCGCCCCCGTCCACGAGGAACACCTGAGGGAAGGGGTAGCTCTGGGGGTCACGGCTCATGGTGCAGGTCCTGCAGTGAGACGAAGTGTGCAGAGAAGGAGGTGTTCGTCTTCATTTCAGCACCTACTAGCTCCTCCCACAAATACCCCGAGCACATTCAGGGACACCTACAGGAAGACGTCCCCCCGTCCCGTCCCCCGCCTGTTGATTGCATAGTGGTTAGAAGTTCTTGCTGCATAATATTACCATAAAACCTCACAGTTTAATAGAGCTCTGCCCCCGTTCGGGTATCTCATGTGGGACGTTTGCACCGAGCGTTCGCTGCAGAGCAGGAAGCTGACCCCCCCTCCTCCTCGCACTAACCGCAGACATGTCATCGTCACAAAAGAGACATTTTCACCCTTCCCAAGTAGAGAAATATTAACAAAACCCGGGGCCCCCCCCCCCCCCCCGAAGCCCAGGTGTGCTGCTTCATGATCATTATCATTGAATCGTCGTCATCATCAGTGAGGCAGCGGTTTCCTCGGGGGGGAGATGCTGCTGCCTCATTGAAGGGCAGGACGGAGAAGACGGCGTCGGATGAAGAGCTGCCAGCAACACTTGAGTGGGGGGGGGGGACCGCAGGCAGCAGCTCACGGCTGAGCTTCCAGGAAGGCCGAGTCCCCTCACACGCTCAGCAGGGGGGGTTGTTGTGGTTGTTGTGCCACTCTACGGTTTGCTTTGTCGGGTACAGAGCAATGTGGTCGGTTTCCATCAGCTTCTGTTCGTCTCCCTCGTGAGAGACTGTTTGACCTCAACAGTGGAACCTGAAATAATCAGCATGTCTCCGCAGCGATGTCCCTCCCTTCTCCTGTCAATCGTCACCAAGCCGCTTCTGCAAAGACGGTTCACTTCCTCTGCAGAGACGAAGGGAAACCCGCCTGAAGCTCGACCCCCGTTAGCATGGGTGGGGTTGTGGGGTCTAACCAGGTTGAAGGAGGAGAAGGAGTTAGAGGACTGAATCCGCGAGTCTCCTCAGAGCCTCCTTCCTTTACGCAGGTCTTCTGATGGGGGGCTTTGATATTCAGTAATCCAGTGTTTAACCACAGAGAGATTAGATATTGAGAACAACAGTTCATGTGACATCGTTCAGATGAGTACAGAGCATGAATGAAATCAGCTGTCAGTCCCGAGACGCGAGACCACTTCCCAGGGTTCCTTTCTGCCGCTCCGCAGGCGGCCTCTGGGCCTCGGGTGGTGGGTCCCGGCGCTGCGTCTCCGCCCTGCGGGGGAGAGGTCTTCCTCCCCGGAGCGTCGCTGAGGTTTGGGAGGTGGCGCCGCAGCCCCGAGGCCAGGCTCTGCGTCTCAGCGCCGCCGCGCCCTCTGAAGGCCCGCTTGGTGCGGCCAAAGAGCCGCGGCTGGTCCTGGTCCGCACAGACCGCCTCCGAGGACTTGGTTCTCTGGGGCTGAAGGTTTGAGGCTTCCTGCCCCACATCCGGCCGAGACACCGTCATGTGGAGGCGCTTCAGCTGGGGGGGGCGGCTGTGAAGCACAGCGGGGACAACGGTTCATATGTAGCATTCAGAGATAACACGAGACAAAAAGACACGCTGTGTATTTAATGCACAAACAGGAATAAACCAGCGGGTGGAGAAGACTTGAGGACCACAGTCGTCTGGCAGGAAGTGATTTCTTCTCTGTGCTGCAAAGGCAGAAAGAGTTTCATCAACAGGGCTTGTTGTGTTTGGCTCCTGGACTGTAGGAACATACGGTTTCTACCACTGAGCATCACGACTACATCCAATAAGGGGATGAGAGCTCCAAGCTCCCCGCCCCCCGTCCCTCCTCCTGCAGGACGCTCGAGGGGTCCGCGCCTCGCGTCTGCAGCCGGGGGTCCACAGCTCGTAGTTTGGCCACGAATCTCTTGTGCTCTCGTTGCAAAGTGTCGACGTGCAGCTGGACGTCGGCGGTCTTCCTCTCGGGGCGATGGGACAACTGCAGCTGCTGGGACACAAACTCAAGCTTAACTGAGGCCTCCATCTACGTTCCTGTAACTACACCCACACCCACCTGCAGGTAGAACTCCATCTCCCTCATGCTGGAGATCCACTTGTTCACGCAGGAGGCCGAGTCGACTGCAGGGAACAGAAACACGCTGATTAAAGGGGAATTAAGGAGACAACTATCGCTGGAAGGGTTCTTGTTACCAGCTTGTGTCTCCGCTCGGGGACGTCCTTCAGGCGTCCCTCCGTGAAAGACATGAAGGCTTCGTGATCCAAGAGGAAACATCATGTGTTTGGAGGACCTCACTACGGGGAATGACCGAAGCAGAACGTAGCATGCTAAGCTAACATGGAATAACCGTTGGTAACATGTGGTCATGCAGAATGAGACTACGCGGCCTGTCTCACTGTCTCCCCGTCCGTCTCTCTGTCTCACCTCCTTCATTTAAAGCAGTTAAAGCGGTTAGCGCCGCTGCTACTTAAGCTAGCAGCTGGATCCAGTTGTTTGGTAACGCTTAAAGCTGTAGTCATGGCAACCAGCCGCTGGCCTTCTCTCTCTCTCCACAGTCGCTTCAGTCTTCCTTGATGTTTCTTTTTTCGTTTCCAGCCATTTCTGACCTCTGACCTGACGCATGTCACGTGACCGGGGCGCCGCTACGTTACGTCACGTGTCATTTAGCTGACGCTTTTTATCCAAAGCGACTTACAAGAAGCGCATTATTACATCCACCATTATTACATCCACCACACAAAAACCTTTTCTG